CTCCTGAGTTTGGGAACAAACGTTGTCACTCTGGGAAGGAGCCGGTGTGGAATCCAAACTTCTCCTTGCCCTGCAGCACATTGTCACACCTAATTATAGAAAGCAGAGGGTGTATGAATGTCTCACCTCTCTGAACATTAAAGCTTTGCAGGCTTTTGCTAACTCTTGCCAGCAGTAACCCAGCCTTTTGGGGTTCTCTGCCTTGCCTGGGCCTATTTTGAGCACATCCCAAGCTAATGGATTTCTCTTCTTGCTTTTCCCGTTTGCTTTCCATCCTGTTCTCCTCAGAGAACTGGGACACTGAGAAAAGGGATGCAGGGTGGCCCCAAATGTGCTGAGACTGGTGCTTGTTCACCATTGCCCAGTGTGTGAAATGGAACCCAAATTCCCCTTGGAGTTGGTGAGGTGTTGGGGAGAGCAGGTGCCCCCAAAATCCTGCACTTCCAAACTCCCCCAGGTGAGCACCCACCTCCCTCTCCCGAGTTCCTCACTCTGCTCCTTCCAGCACCCCCTGTAACACACACACCAAGCAGTGCACAGGATAAACACTGCAAACCCTGCCAAAACACAACTCCTGCTACCTGCATGTGTCTTCCTTGAGAGGGATGAGGAAGGGCAGCCCACCCCTGCCCCAAACCAGGTATGTTTAATGCAGAAGCAGAAAGTGCTCCAACAGTGGCAATTTCAGATGTCAGAAGGAAGAAACTACTGAAAAAGGAGTATAAGCAGATGAAAATGATGCCTGCTTTGTGAATGCAGAATTGAGGGCACCTACTTTGGGCTGTAGTGAGTCATACAAAGGATTGTAGGAGAGAAGCCATCAGTCCCAAAGTATTTAATTTCTGAAGTGGGTGTAACTTTTTAGAACCAGAATTTTTTTTTCCTCCCAGTGGATTATCAAACACACTGATTTCACTGTAATACTCTTTTGAACACTTCAGAAAGAAGCTAAGAGGGCTCCAGTATCAAATTAACCATGATTTTGCAGAGAGAATGAAGTTACCAACATTCATTAGATTAAAATAAAATAACAACAAAGCTCACCTGATTTTGTTATGAAGACTATTTGGAAGAGCAATCAGATTTTAAGGCAAATGTCAACTTAAACAGAAAAGAAACGCCTGAGGATGGAAATGACTCAGAGTGATGCAGGGAGTGCAAGTTTGGGAATGATCTTTTGCATGAGGAGAAAATATGTGACCTTCTCCTGGCTGACTGTCATGTAGGAATTAATAGGGACTATTGGCAAATTGATAACAGTAGGAATAAAGGCCAACAGCACATGGGTGAGAGACATCAGGAAATCTCATTGCTGCCTGCATTAACTGGGCATGGAATGTTACAAACAGTTATGATGAATAATGTGATTTTTAAAAAAGGTAGAATGCCTTTTTCTTTCAGCTTCACCATCTTTTAGCAGATAGTGCTGGATTACTGGTGTGATTAAGGGAAGGGAGAGGAGGAGATTGTTAAATATGAAAGAAAATGTGTTAAAAGATACGTACATGCACCTGGAGTTAAGCTGAGTTTGCCTGTAATAAACTTGAAGGCTGATGTGCAAAATGTGTTTGAACTGTGGCTGGGTGGGCAGAATTTGATTCCTTGTTTACACTTGGGCAGCTCTAGATTGGCTCTGAGGTGGCTTTACCCCTGTGCACCACTCCATTCAGGAAGAACCTGGTAGGTTTGGAGTTACTTTGTCCTCAAATCACCTCTAAATTGAGGCAGGGCAGGGTGTGGTCCTTGTGGTGGGGCAGGGGTTGGGTTGCTGTTGGGTTCCATCACTGCATTGCCTGCAGACCTTCATCACCTGCAGCAGGAACAGGGTGTTGTGGGTGCAAAGGCTCCCAGGTCCTCTGAGCACCCAAATGCCAGAGGAGCTGCTGGTGGGTTCCTGCGGCGTGGAGCAGGTGGATGTCACCCTGAACTGCTCCTGGATTTGTCCCCTCCTGCTCTGAGGTACGTGGGCGTTGCAGGGGGCTTGGTTGGGTGGGAGCTCCCCTGGGAGGGGAGATGAGATGAGCTGTGGGCAGTGTTTGGTGGGATTGCAGCTTTGTTGGGCTGTATGGGTGTTGGCTTTGGTCAGGTTTGCTTTCTTGTCTGCATTGTGGTGGGTGGCAGGGGCCTTCCTGCCCTGCAGCCTGAGGTTTCTGTGTTTGGTCTGGAAATGATGGCACTGTGGAGCTTTTCTGTAAAACTGCCTGTGAGTCAGACCTGGGCTCAGTTTGGGTTTGCCTTCCTTGCTGGTCCACTCCCTGCTCTCACACCCGGAGTCCTGCCTCTCCCGGGAGATGTTCCTGTGCATTTTCTCAGCTCTCTTTTGGCTCTTTGTCCTTCACCTATAGAAGGAACCCACATCCTCCTCTCCTCTGCAACTGGAGCATCTTGAGTTCACACTTCAAGGCTTTGGATTAAGAAAAAGCAAGGAGGTTACCTTGGGACAAGGGTCACAGTTAAACACCCACTCCCAGGGTGTAGGTCAGACACAAGACATAGCTCCATAACTAAGCAGGGTAGAAAGCAACAGAACCTCCTGCTTACAGTTTACGTTCTCTACAAACCTGGGAAGAGGGCAGGAAAAGCACCTGTGTTCTGGGCTTTCCATTCTGACATAGTTTTGTTTGGTGTTCAGAAGAAACCATGAAATATCTTGGCTAGAAACAGTTCAGATTTCAATGAATTTGTGTGTTGGCATGTTCAGCAGAGCAGCTTTTGTTCTCTGTTCCAAGGGTGGTGGTCCTGGTTAAAGCTGTGTCAGGAGGGGAGGAAGGTGGACCTTGAGCTGGGTAAAAGCCCAGAAGGGGTTTGAGAGCCAGGATTGCATTTGGTCCTGGCAACCCCACTGCACTATCTGGTCTGTGTGTTGGATCCAGAGCTTGACAAACCAACCACCAGCAGCCTGTCTGTTGGACTTTGTGCCCTGGGAGAAGTCAGTGGAGCAGAACTGGTGCAATGCTCCAAAGGTTTCCTTCGTGGCACTGGTGCTCTTCTCAGCTGTGCCATTTTTACTGCTTCATCTAATTTCAACCCAGCACAGCCTGTCCCACGCCTGAGGCCTTGCCAGGATTGTGCCTGCCTGGCACTGCCCTCTAGAAACAAGTAGTTTCCAGCCTGGTCAGGGGCTGCTGTAGGTACAGGACCAGTGCTGGTGGGTTCTGCTGTAGGACAACGGGTTTTATCTCAGCCCCTGGAGGTGAGGTTGGTCCTTCAGCGGCTTTTGAGGCTGCTGAGATCCTCCCACACGAGATGCTGTTCGTGTGGCAAGTGCAGTGCTCTCTGAGAGCCTGTGGTGTCTTCCCTAAACTGATTTATCTCAAAGCTTGCCTTGCTTGACTCTGCTATGAGATCTCCCTGGAAGTGACAGCTCCAGCCCTCGCTTCCCCTCTGCTTTTCCTTCCCAGCCAGACATGGCACAGCCATTCCCCCTTCCCAGAGAGGAGGTTTCCTCAGGGCTCTGCCCTGCTCTCTCCTTCCATCCGTGTAACACAAGCCGGACTCTGTCGCTGTGTTACAGCGTTGGCTCAGTCCTGCCGGTACAGGGGAGCTTCCAGCTCCTTCCAGATGTGAAATGGCAAATTTAAATATTGCAATTACAAACTTGTAACGAAGCCTTGTACTTCATTAATGTAAGAGGAGGAATCTGCTATGGCTACAAGGACAATTAAATATTAGAGAATGTCTTTGATTCACATTCCTGCTGTGTAAATGGGAGGAAGGTTGCTGTATGCTCCTTGCCTGCGCGCTCACAAAATGAAAAGCACACCCACTGCAAGTTGTCCTTTGATAGATTTTTAATATGATTTTAAAGAGTTTTGTTTGGCCTCATTCTTATTCAATGAGATTAATTTAAAGCACTTATCCCCTGGGTTTAAGTCAATCCATGTAGGATTTGGGACGGGGGGTTGTTGCCCGGGGAGGGGGTTGTTTGCAGGCCTCTCTGAAAGACTCCTTTCCCACTTCATTAACCGTGAGCTGGGAGCGACCCCCCTTCCTCCTCCTCGCCCAGCCGAGGCCCGGGGATTTACCAAACTCCCCCATTCACATGCAAAGGACCAGCACCGTCCACAAAGGCCGGGGGCTCTTTCCCCCAGGCGTGGCTGTGCATTTGGCCGAGCCGACAATCCCCCTCCCCGCGGGGCTCGGGGGGTGCCGGGGCAAAGCCCCCGGGACGGAGCCGGGCCGGGGGCACCGGGCTGGGACCCGGCCCCGGGGAGGGCGATCTGTAGGGCCGGTGGGTGCCGGGGGGGGATGCTCCGCAGACAGGCGGGCCGGGGGAAGCGGAGGGGCCGGGGGAGCGGCCGAGGGGACCCGCAGCCCATCTGTCGGCTCCCCGAGCCGAGGAGCCGCTGCCCGGCTGTCCCGGGGACCAGCTGCCGGGCCCGCTGGCCGCGGCCAGATGAGCGACACTTTTAAAGGGTGGAAACAATCCATTTTGCAAAGCGATCATTTAAAGCACTTAGGCAATTATACACTTAAGATTAGCGTCATTAATTCGCTATCGCCGCGCCGGGCAGCAGCGCCCCGGTGCCCCCCGACGGCCCCGCGGCCGGTCCCGCATACCGGCACTGGGGACACCGGGGGGACACCGGGACCCGGGCAGGGGGGCGAACCCTGCCATGGGAGGTGGGAAAACTCCTCTTTGCTCTTCCCTTTTCCCCTCGGCGGCGGCGGCGGCTGCTCCACCAGAGCAAACAAGCGGGAGGGGAAGAAGGGGCCGGCGGAGGCGAGACCCGTTTGTTTGTAAAGAAGTTTTATTTCCACATTTAAAAAAGGGGGGAGCGGGAGCGGCCGCGGCGCCCCGAGCACCCCCCCACACACCGCGCCCCCCGCCCGGCCGGGCCGGCCCCGGGATACAGACTGACAAGAATCACTTACACAAATACGCCCTCAGGGTTCACAAATAAATAATTCATATACATTTTGCACCGTATTTACATTCCACCGCGCTTTTCCCCCCTTTTTTTTTCTTTTTTTTTTTTTTTTTTTTTTTTTTTTTTTTTTTTTAATTTTAAGTTACGGACGTCCCAAAGTCTCTCTGGGGCCGTCAGCCCGGGCCCCACCGCGGCCCTTCCCGGATGGTGCCCCGGGGTCAGGGAGCCGGGGAAAGCGGGGAGGGGGCTCCCCGGAGCCGTCCGTGGCAGGTGTGGCTCGGTCCCCCCGACAGTTCCTGGGGAGGGGGCAGAGAGGCAAAGCCCCCCCGGAGCATCCGCCTCCCCCCGTGCTCCAGGCGCCGTCCCACGCCGGGGTGGGGGGACCCACAGCGGCCCCGCTGCCCTTCGGGGGCACAAGGGGGTAAAAAGGCGGCGAGTGCCCCGCGGGGTTGGGGGGCAGCTCCGCCGGCTCCGTCCTGCCAAGCCTGCCCTTGCTTCTTGCATTCTTTATATATATTTTAAAAAAGGAAGGGGAGGTCTCATTTATATTTATATATATATATATATATATTCGGGGATGAGCGGGAGTCTGTCGCTTGCTCGCGGCCCCAGAGGTGGGGTTGTCCCCTCCAGCCCCCCGGCCCGGTGGGTGCCGGGGGGGGGTCTCCCGGGCGGCCGGGGCTCACCGGGGCTGCGCAGCCCGGGGCAGGACGCCGGGCAGCGGGGGCAGGGGCGGCGGGGGCTCGCTGCCGCCCTGCAGTCCGTGGATGAGGATGCGGGGCACCAAGGGTCTCTGTAGGGCGGGGGGCGGCGCGCTGGGTCCGCGGTACAGGTAGAGGGCGGCGCCGGGGTCCAGGTTGGAGACCAAACTCTGCGGGTAGAAGTAGGGCGAGGGGAACATCCTCTGGAGAGCCGAGTAGTTACCGGCCTCGGCCAGCAGCTCCAGGCCCACCGCCGTCTGCCGTTTCCACTTGGTCCTGGGGGGGGACAAGTCGAGACAGGGGGTCAAGGAGGGAGGGATGCTCCCAAAGCCGCTCCCGAGCTCTTTTTACCCTTTGCATGCCCCCTTTCCCCGGACTCTGCTCTCCTTGTGCATCCCCGCTCCCACCGCTGGCTCCCAGGGCCAGACTTCCTTGTGCGGCAGGCACGGGATGCAGACTCCAATAATCGGAGCAGGGGGCTTATCTCCCTGCTGTTCCCACCGCGGCGGCCCGGCGTGAGCGCCCACGGAGCCTTCCCTGAGCCACCGGAGCCACAGCCCGGCTGGGATCCACGGGCGGGGCGTAAATCGCGGCGATATAAATCGCGACCATCATTTCAGTCCCTTCCTGGGAGTGTAAGTTCCAGATTGTCACACGACCCGCCGGGGATCCTCTCCCCTCAGTCCCGCGGGTGCTGCGGCCGCCGCGATGCCCCGGCCCGAGCCGCCGCCCGGGGCTCCGGGACCCCCTCCCCGGCCCGGGGCTGCCGGGACCGGGCCGGGCCCCTCGGGGGGCTGCGAGGGTCCCGTGGGGGGACACGAGTGGGGCAGCGTCCCGGGGCATTCGTTTGCGGCATATATATGTCTCTCTGTATATACCTACATATATATATATATATATATATATGCACACACACGTATATATTTTATATATGCATACATACGTACCTAGGGTATGTGTGCATGTGTGTATATATATGTGTGTGTGTGTGTGTGCCGGATGTCGTGGAGAAGCCCCGGCCCCGGGATCTCGCCCACGTCGGGGCCGCCGGCGGGCCGGGCTGGCCAGGGAAGGGGGCTGGGGGCACCGGCTCGGCTCCGGCGCGTCCTTGCGGGAGGGATTTTGGGAGCGGAGAGGTGACCACACAGCCCCCAGCGCCCCCAGACACCCCCAAATCACCGACGTGGGGGGATCTTTGCAGATGGCAAAGCGGGACTGGAAATGACGGGGAGGGAGGGTCAAACCCCGGGGCGAGCGGGGGGACAGTGTGGGGGCTGCAGCCGGGGGTCCCTCGTTTGGTGGCGGTGGCAATGGTCGGGGCTCGGGTTGTCCCGATAAACCCACTGAAGCCACCACACGTCTCCAACCCTTTTACAGATTTGTCGCTGAAGCGCTAAACCTATTTCCACCAGTAAATTATTCATCATAATAATAATTGTGTAATTACTGTAAAGGGTGTTAATTATTGATGCCCAAAGCAGTAATTGGTATCTATTATTAATGGGCCGATGTGTTATGCTGTTGTGTTTAGCTGGAAGCCCGGTCCTGCCTCCTCGCCTTGCCGGGGCTGGGGGCACGGATTGCCCCCCACCCCCTGCCCTGCCCCGGCATCGCTTTTCTCCCCTTGACTTCGGGGTAAAAGTCCCCGGGGGAGGCGGGGACGGGACGGACATGGCACCTCTCCTGGTGCCAGGACGGACGGGGTGGTTGTGGGGTGCAAGAGCCCTGCCCGGTTTGTGGGTGCGGGGCCGGGGAGAGGGGCAGGGTGGGATCCCGGCGCTGCGGGCAGGAGGGAAAGGTGCATTTTTACCTTCTGTTCTGGTACCACGTTTTCACCTGCGTGTCGGTGAGGTTGAGGGAGGCGGCCAGTTCCATCCTGTCCTGCACGCTCAGGTATTTTTGCCTCTCGAAGCTGCGCTCCAGCTGGGCCAGCTGATGGTCGGTGAAGGCGGTGCGGGCTTTGCGCGGCTTTTTCAGCCGCACCGGGGGGCTGTCCCGGGAGCTGGAGATCTCTCGGTCCCCTTCTTCTTTCACTGAGCCGAGAGGGAGGAAGAGAGGCCAGGTCAGGGCAGGAATGGAAATACCCTCAAAAGAAGGGGGTAGCCCCCTGCAGCCGTGAGTCAGGGGCTCAGGACCGAGTCGGGCTCACGGCACATTTGCTCTGTAACCTCGAAAATTTTAACCTTGGGGGGGACTCGGGGGGTCTCCCCCGAACGGGCCCGGCCTTTCCCCTTCCCGAGGGCCTGGGAGTGGGGCCAGAGCGCCGGGATGTGCCGAGGAGACCCCCGGCCCGGCCCCGCCGCCCTCCTGCCTAGACCCCCCCTTATCCCTTTCACTCCTCATTTCTCACGGGGCAGGGCCCTCCTCAGAGTTTATTCTCCCAAACCCAACAGATTTCTCGATGCTTGGATAATTTTTATTTCCTTTTTTTCTTTCTCTCTCTCTCTTTTTTTTTTTTCTTTTTTTTAAACCGAAAACAAACCCAACCAAAACCGAAAATTTTTAAGTCTACATTTTTTGGAGGGGAATGTCGCCGGATTGGTCCTGCTTTTCCCCTCCGCGGAGAAACCTCCGTCCTCCCGGGGCACGGAACAAACCCCCCTTCTCCAGGGCGCACAACGAAATACTGGGGAAGGGGCTCCGCCAGCCCCTGCCCGGGCTGTTATTTATCTTAAAAAATGCCGAATGAGAGGGGCTGGCGGTGGTTCGTTGGCGCTGTCGGTACCTACGCGCCGGCAGAGCGACGCGGGAACTTACGCCACAAAATGTTAGTAGGTGATGGAAAAATTATCGAGCAGAAATAAAAATAAAAGGGGAAAAATAAATCCCTGTTTGTGCGCGCCTTCTCCACTCTCCTGGAGGAGATTATGGAGCAAAAAGGCTCGGTTTATACATATCGACGGCGTTTGGTTGTTTTGTTTTTTTTTTTCACAGGGGTTTATGTTAAATTTGCTGGTGGCGGGGGTGAGCAGGGACAGGGCTGCAGCCGAACGCGAGCTGATTTCTCTCTGTAGGAAGACAATAATCCGGTTAATTGAGCCACCGGGGAGCGAAACCCTTCAACCAGAAATCCCGGCTCTGGCCGAGCAGGCAGAGCCCGAGCCGGGGACGAGCCTTAAGCGGGGAGATTCGGCCCCAGATCACGGGAAAGAGGCAGCGCCGGGACCGGGCAGGGGAAGAGGGGCGGCCCCGCTCCCTCCCGGGAACGGCCCCAAAGTTTGTGCGGAGTTTTTCCGCGGAGTAAAGCGGGTCAGGCCTCGAGCATCCCGAGACGGCAAATCCCTCCCGGCCCCCGGGCTGATCCTCGGCTCCTAAAAAAGTTCCTGCCTTCCAAAGGGCTGCAGGAACGGTGGCAGCGGCTTCCCCAGCCGGTTCGGATCTTTCCCTGGCTATTCATAGCTTTAAAAAAAAATTTATACATATATATATATATAAATATATATTATGGATTTTTCGGCATTTTGGCCGCTGCGGGTTAGGCCTGGCCCCGCAGCTCCTTCGCGGAATAAATAAGGGGCGTTTTGCCCCAGGAAAGGCTATTTCCAAAGCAGCAAAAAAATGATCGTGCTGGAAGCGAGGACTTTCACCCGTTCCCCATTAATGCAGGGATTTCCCCCTGATTCAAGCTCTGTTTCCCCCCCCCCCCCATTTAAATTGTGTTTTTTCCCCCATTTAATCTGTTTTCCCCTCTCGTTTAGGCCATTTTTTCCTCCACGATTAAAGCGGTGTTTTCCCCGCAACTTAAAGGATTTATTCCCCCCATTTCAGCGGCGTTTGCAGCGTGGCCGTGGCAGGGACAGCAGAGGAGCCAAGCGCCAACGGGGAACGGCCCCCACCCAAATCCATCCCCCCCTGCCCGGGCTCGGCCGGCTCTGGGGGATGCGGAGAACCCGCTTTTCTTCCCCCCCGCCCGCCGCCGCTTCTTTCGCGTCTCGGCGATTTGGGGGAAGGGGAGAGGAGCTGAAGAAATTTGGGGCGGGTGTAGGAGGCGAAAACAAACCAGCAAGGTGGGAATCGCAGCTGCTTTCAATCCCGGCCCTGCAGAGCAGCGGGGCCGATGGTTCCTCCCGGGGCACTTCCAGCCCCGGCACCGACCCCGGGCTCCGTCCTTCGTTTGGAGCGAAAATCCCCTCGCGATGCCCAGAGGTTTTCGCCGCCTTTGGAGGCTCCTTTGGGCGAGTATTTTTTCCTCCATGAACCGGATTTCAGCCCAGCCTCTCCAGGCGGGCCGAGGGTGCATTTGCAGCCAGGACAGGGCTCAGCACCTCCCTCGCTTTTTTCTGCCAAGCCCCCCAAATCCATCGGCCCCGCAAGGTGCCATCGCCTCCCCTTTCTCCCCCCAGCTGGGTACCCTCGCCTTCCCCTCTCCAACAGCCGGCGAACACTTTTCCTGGGTAAAAGTTTGCAGGAGTGGTGGGGGTGCGATGGGCGAAAGCACCTGGGATAAACCGCTCCGGGGGGCGAGGACCGACCCCAACCCTCCCGTGCTGTTCCTGTGCCTCTCCCCGCCCCGGCTGCCGCAGGGGAAGGCCGGGAAGGGGCTGCGAGGGGCCCGGGAGGCCGAAGCCCCCGGCCTGGGGCGAGCAGCGGCCGCATCCATCCCCAGCCCCGCCGTGGATGCAGCCCAGGGCTCCCTGTCTGTCGTGCTCTGTTTTGAACCATCCCCAAAATAATAACGCAAATAATACATCGAATCAAACCCCGCCAACTGGCTTGTTCGTTTCTTAGCAGAGCGGGGAAAATACCTGGCAAAGTCGTGATCATTTTATTATTGTTTTCTTCCTTTTTTTTTCCTCCTCTTTTTTTTTGTTTTTTTTATTTTTTTTTTCTCAGGCAGAAATCCGTCTCCGGTTCTCCTCTCCCATATCCCCGCGGGTAGGAACGAAACCAGCCGGATCTTTCCCGCGGAAAACAGCCCGGAGGATCCCCCGGGCGCGTTCGAGGAAGCGCCGATCGCCCCAACCCCTTCCACCGGGCCGAGCCCCACCGAGCCCCGAACCCCAAGTTTTCCCAAGTTGTTGCCGACCCCGTGGTCGTTTCGGGGGCGATCGATACCGCGACCCCCCCCCATCAGCGGGGCCGGTTCCGCAGCGAGATCCCGGAGCACCGGGAGACCCCCGGGCCGCCCGAGGCTTTGGGTCAGGGCCGCCCTACAAAGCCCAGCGGGGTGAGCGGCTCTTACCTTTGTACTCCGAGTCCGAGGAGGAGCTGCTGGTGTTTTTTTCCATTTTCTCCCTAAAATCCTCGCCGGGCTTGGTGGGCATCCTGCCCGCCGGCTCCTGCCCGCCGTGAGGTCCATTGGTGCTGGAGTAAGGCGCGCAGGCGGCCAGGGGCTTGCAGTCGGCCAGGATGTCTCTGATGAGGAAGGAGGAGGTGACGGTCCGGGACTGGGAGGGAGCCGAGACCTGCCCCGGCTGGAGATGCGCATCCAGGCCCGGCCGCGGCACCGCCGCCTCCAGGCACTCGCGGCCCGGCGAGCGGGGCGAGGGGCACCCGCTGCTGCCCTCGGAGCGGGGGCTCAGCTCCAGCGGGGACCGGCCGTCGCCCACCAGCGGGTCCCCCTTGGGCACGGCCGGGCTGCCGGCTCGGTGGGAGAGGATGGAGTCGATCCCAAACCCGGTGGAGCCCTCCATGGCCCCCGCGAGGTGCCGGCGCTCACACGGGCATTGGCGGGGAGGGCGCGGCGGAAGCGGTTTGATAATGATAATTAACAATAACGGGAGGGGGGGAAGGAAAGAAAAAAAAAAGGCAAAAAAAATATAAATAATTTAAAAAAAAAAAAAAGGTGAAAAGGAAAAAAAAATGAGCAAAGTTCAGTCTGGGATCCGGGCAACAATTGCTGCAAGGCTCTCCGAGGCGCCGCGCGTTAGATCCAAGGCTGCTCCGTCTTCAGCATCGCGCCCAGCTGCACTCACAGACAGACAGACAGGAGAGGGGGGGGAGAGGGAGGCAGAGTCAAACTTTGGCCGCGAAGGGGGTGGGGTGAGGGGGGACGGACCCCAACCTCACCCGGGGTCCCGGCCACCCCACCCGTGCCCGGAGCCGCGGCGGCGCGGGGCTGGGGGGCAGCCCGGGGGGCTCCCAGCCGGAGGTGGGGAGGCAGCGATCGATAGTGGAGGCTTCGCAGCGCCTTAACCACTTAATGATCCAGAAATCAATGGGGAAGGGCGAGGGGAGGGCGGAGGGGGTGGCCAGCCGTCGGGGCCGCCGCGGCGCCCCCCCTTCCCCGCCAGCACCTCGGACACCGGCGGGGGGGGGGAACCGGAGTGACTCCGGAGCCTTCAGCACCTCGGACGGAGCCCGCGAGCCGGAGTCGCTCCGGAGCCGGAGGCGCCTTCAGCACCTCGGACAGCGGCGGGAGCGCCGCGCCCTCCCCGGGGGGGGAACGGGGGGAAATGGGGAGAAAACCTGAACTTGGGCCGCTCCGGCTGGGGGACCCCGGCACCCCCCACCCACCCCGTGGGAACGCGCCCATTGGCCGCCGGGCGTTTTGGGGGATGTCACTCCCCAGCAGGCGACACCTCGGAGCTTGATTAACGGGAATTAATTGCCGCCCGCGTCCCCGCGCTTTCCGGGCGGTTTCCGCCCTCTTTTGCCGTCATTATCCCGCTGATAGGGCTCGTAATGGGATGATTAGCCGCGGAAGGGGCGGGGGGGGGAGTAGTGGGTTGGGTGGGTTGTCGAGGGGTTGCTGTTTTCTGCTCGCCTCCCCCCGCAGCTAGCCGATCTGCAGGTCCCTCTCAGGCAGGGAAAGTTTTGATGGGCGTTAAAATAATAATTAAAAAAAAAAAAAAAAAAAGAGAAAAGAAAAATTAAAGGAAAAGCATCGAAACCCTCCCCAGGCTCCCAGCACAGAGGAGGCTGCTCTGAGCCCGAGGTGAGCCTCGGAGCTGCGAATTTCGTTGAATGCTCTCGAAATCGGTTGTGACCGAGCAGAGAGGTCCGCGGGGCCGCCGGGCCGCCGCCACCCCAGCCCAGCGCTGCCCGAGCGGCGAGGACCGGGCACCGCTCTGCCCGCTCTCCCAGCGCCCAGCGGCGGTACCTACTGGTGCCACTGGGAAGGGGCCGCACTCAGGGTGGATTTTTCCTGCCGTCAGTCCCGTTTTAAATAAAAGCCCAATAGCCCCAGCCCGTTTCTCCCAGAGACACCAAGTTTCCTCCCTCCCGTCCCGTCGGGGGGTTTTGCCGTTGTTGGTCTCCCAGGCTGGAGAGGGACCGGCTCCCGCAGGATTCCCACCTTCCTCCCGGTCAGACCGGCTCCTGCCTCCTCGAGGGTTTATTTAGGGGCTTTTCCCGCGGGCAAACCCTTCGCCGCGGAGACGAGGAAAATGTCCACACCCGGGCGTGTGAGGCTGTGCCACTTTAAAGCGATGCCACCGGTTATTTCTCAAATACTCGATTTCTTCCGTTCGCCACCTTCCCGGCCAGTCAGCTGCATCTTGTCCATCTTCCAAAGCCGCCCTTGGCCGGCAGCTTGGAGGCGACCAGCGAGGGGAGAGCCCCCCCTCGGGAAGCCCGGCTGCCAGCTGTCGGGCAGCGGCGCAGGCAGGGCCCCCAACACCTCCTGCCCTCGGCCCTGCAGGCTCGGGGCCGGCTGGGATCGGGGCAGCGGAACAAAAGAACCTCAGAGGAGGACAAGCCCAGGAACAAAATCAGCGTCAGCCCCGGTCCCAGCCTGCCCCCACCTCGGGGATGCAACACTGCCGTGCCGGGCACTGCCCGTCCTCCCTTGTCCCTCCCTGGGCAAAGGATTCCTGCTGCTGCTCTGCCCTGTCTCCCTCCCATCACAGCGGTGCTGCCCCAGCACCCGGGACTGGAGGCCAGGCTGAAGGGTCCTGGTCTGTGCAGGGGCAGTTTTGCAGCATCCACTACCCACAAGGCCGAGCCAAATGTCACTTGGGGCTGGACCAGAGCGATGGATGTGCACAAACTGGTCCCGGTGAGAAATGAGGGTGAGACTCTGATGGGGTTTCCCAGCTCTTTGCAGTGTTTGTGTTGGTTCTTGGGCTCTGGCAACCTCCCTGTCCCTATCCAACCAGGAGATCCCATTTGGGATGGAGATTGGCACTGGGACCAGGAGCAGCACTGAGGTCATGTTTGGAACCAGAAAATGGAGCAGGGCTGGGAGCGGGTTTAGAATCAGGATTTGGATCAGCCATGCAGGGACAGGTTGGGGCTGGTGAGTTTGTTGCTGTATTTCCTGCTCTTGAATAAAGCACCTGCCTTCAAATAACCACAAGGAAGTTTCCAGATCAGACCAACTTCCCGATGCTGTGCAAGATTTTGGGGGGAGGACGTGAGCTCATCCCTGAGCAGGTGCTGCATTGTGCCATCCCCAGCCAAGGCCCTGGAGATAGAGACTGTCACTCCTAGGCCACACTTGGAGCTCCCAGCAGCTATAGATGCACTTGCTACTCATGTTCTAATGTCAGTGTGGCTGACATTAATATTATTATTACTATTATTACTATTAAAGTTATTGTTACTATTGTTTCAGAACTAGCCCCCCCCGGCAGAAACGCCTCACTCTGCCTATATGTGGTGTCCCCCCCTGTCACCAGACACTGGACAAGTGCGGTTCAAATTATTTGTCTGTGGCTCCCAGCACAGGTAGGAAATCCTGTGTACAGATCACTGACTGGTCTGTATGTGGAACAGATCCCCACATTTCCAGTTCCCTCCTCACAAGCCCCAGTCACACCCCAGGGTTGGATCCAGGACTTTGGCAGCTTTGGGAGCTTCCCTGCATTCCATCTTGCTGGGAGATGCTGATGGACATGGCCAGGCTCTCCTAGGACCTGTTCCCAGTGTGGGTTTGGCCCTGAGGCCACGGGACAGGGCTGATCCAGGTGTTCCCAGAGGCTTGGGCTGCGGGACACCTCCACAGCTGGGCCAGGGGCTGGAGGGCACGGACTGCTGAGCTGGGATGATGATTAGTAAGAGCTATATGAGAAATATCTGCCGGTGAAGCACGGCCCGGTGTCCTGCAAGGGTCTGGCTTAGGGAGGAGTTCCCAGGAGGCTCTGCTGTACTGGATTTCTCACCGAACCCCAGCTGGGTGCTCGGAAAAGCCGTGCCCAGCAGGCGCCGGGAGGGACGCTCAGCAGCGACAGGCACCGGTGGGATGCTCCGGTAACGAAACGAACGTACTTCCATGGGAGAGAGGAGGGTTCGGGGTGAGGGGAAAGGCAGGAAAGGGGGGGGACATTCAGCCGGGGGGGCCGCAGTGTCGGGGAGGAGCCGGGCCCGCGGCGGGGAAGCTGCAGCAGCGGTAAAACCCCGTTACCGGTGGGTGTCACTGCAGGACAAGGAGCGTCGGGGGCGGCGAGAGGGGGGTCGGGACCCGCACCGGGTTCCGCTGGCACGGGGGGAGCGGGGAGGACACGCCGGCTCACGGCTGGGTTGGGTCGGGGGCAGCCCGGGGGGGTCCCCCACGGGGGGTTCGGGCGGTGCCGACGCCCCTCGCTCCCCCCTCGCAGCCCCCCCGAGCTGTGAGACTCGGGCACCACCTTGTCCCAGGATTTCGGGGCGCAGCGGGGCAGGTCTGTCCGCTGCAACCCCCACTGGGAGGCGTCTCCTTCTGAACGTGGCTGGTGCTTTTTTGGGTTTCTGGTCCCTTTTTCTGGCTTCTTCCTCTCCTGACCCAGCAGGTTCACAGGGGCTTGGCTCACACGTGTTGTGTGACAGCCCTTTCCAGCCAGGCAGGACTCTGCTTCCTTCCCTGTGTGCCTCCCAAGGACCTGAGTGGTTGGTGCAGGTGGACACAGATGCTGTGGCTGGACCAAGAGCTGGATGTGGCTCCCACCAGGCAAACCTTGTGCCTGGGCTTCTCACACACTTGTAACCAGTGTCATTTTTAGCAAGATAAGTATTTAAGGCCTGGCTTCCTCCCTCCCTGGGGAGGTGGGAAAGGTCCTTGGTTATAATCCTCCTCTGCCAGCATTGCAAACCCTGCTGTTATCCTCCTCGTTATTTTAGATGGGGTTTATTTAAAGGCCTGTACTAAAAAGAAGCAACCACATCCCAGGATTTCCCCGGTGTGGAGCAGGTGATTTTGTTCCTCCCTCAGCTCAGGTGTGGGCAGGGTGGAGTTTGTTATGGCTCCTTCCTTATATAAAGGGCAGGTTGAGGCACAACTTGCCCTTGAGGAGGGGATGTTGAAGCAGTTGGTGGGGAGCCTTCCTTGTCCTGAGAGAGGTAAGAGAATCTGCCTAAGCAGTTTACCTTGTTCTTTCATCTTGAGTGATACAGTTTAATGTTATGAAGAACTTTTCTCTTTGAGGTTTGGGCTTAAAAGTTTGGCTGGAAATCCAGTGGGCAATGAGCCCTTGGCTCAACATGAATTCTTTATGTCCTTTGGCTGCTGGTGGGTCTATGTAGGAGGGCTGGGCTAGTCCTAGTGCTGAGGTGTGAGAGGTAAAATCATTCTGGGCACATCCACCCTCCAACTGCTTGTTCCCAGCCCCTTCCTGAGCTGGGGATGCAGTTGGGCCTGCCTAGGGCAGCAGATTTCACCTCTCAGAGTGTGGCTCAGAACACACCTGAGCTCTCCAAGTGCCAGTGGGATGATGGATATGAAAACTGAAAGCTAATTTGACTTAGATAGCTGGTACAATCTGAGCTCTAACAGTAGATGTGAGAGGCAGACTACACAAGAGTAATTAATTATTCCTGTAGCAATAATGGAGAAGCACAGTTAAAGTAATCACT